GTATTTTTCAGAAAGAAAATAAAAGATAGTTACAGAAAATTATCAATGAAATAGTAGGTCAAGTGAGATAACTGTAGTGTTGCCTCTTGCCTTAAATCTATGAATCTGTGGAAAGGCCATGGCCTGATGCTGTCCCATCACTGCAGGAAGCATTGATTTGGCCTCTTTTCCAGTTCCTGGATTCTGAATTAGTTTTACAAATTCTTGGGGTTTGTGCATGGTATAATATTATAGTTAGTGAAAAGGTCATTAGCAGCTGGTAGAAAAGGCCTTTGCTTCATTATTGCTCAAACAATTGAAAATGCTCATTGGCTGTAGTTATTCTTTTCAGAGAAAGCTACCACTGAATTTGGTGCAGAGCGTGTAAGGTCATGTCTACAGCATGCAGAGCTTGTGAAGGGTTTCCCCCTTTCAGCTTGAACCTGGCTGGAAGCCTGCTGAGATATCCTGACAGGACAGCACTGTGTGGCCACAGCAGCTCACCAGCTGAAGGAATTAAGGCTTTGTTGTCACAGGACTTGCTGCTTCAGCTGTGATGCTCTGGGGACAGAGCTGTGCTGCTTGCTCAGCCCTACCCCTGGGACTTTCATGCTGTCATTCCCTCCTTGACACCCATTTGGCCCTCAGGTTTCATTTCTGGGTGGATTTCTATCAATTTAAAGGTAAATTGAGCAGTACAAGCTCCAAGGCTACCCTTTGATTCAGCAATCAGGCAGTGCCCTTGTGCTGGTGTTTATTTTGGGGGTTCACGTGACTACAGGTATCTCCCATGTGGTGAGTTTGCATGAGGCAAGTCTGTGTGAGTCACAGAGCATCCAGACTGTGTCTGGTACAAAAAACTAAACTTCTTTCACTCCACACAGTCAGTTAAGGTGTGAGGTAATTTCATTTCTAGTAGTCTTTGGAAAATGTTATTTTATCCCCCCATAAAGATGGGCCTTCCAGTGTTTGTTATGGTACTATCTTCTAATTTCAGAGACCATAATGTCAATATGTCAAATAGGCACAGTAAATTAAGAGTTGTAGGTGGAATCATGCTTCAGCCAAATTTAAGTGGTAGCAAACATGGGTTAATGTCTGCAAATGCATCAAACACAAAAACATAAATTAAATTGAGGGCAGAAGATTCCTTCATTATAAGTTTCAAAAGGATTTTTGTTAGCTTTATGTGCCTTCCAGATTTAGCAAATGTATGTGCAAGAAAGGAAGTATTTTGTTATAATTTTGATTCCATTCTTTCTGCACATATGCAAAACATTCAAGTCAATCTACCCTTTAGTGGATAAATTGAAGAGCATTATGTTTTATGTATCTAATCCTGCACCACTCTTTTAATTTGTATTTTTTTTAATAAAATATGTTGTTCATAGACTTTTGCACAGTGTGTCTGCAGTGTAATTTAATGTGCCCTTCCATGAATTTTCATGCAGAAAATGTAATTTAGTTACATACCTAAACCATACAAGACATTGCCCTAACAATTCCATCTTCAGAAAGGTTAGTGTGTGTGGATTTTTGTAATGTGTGAATTATTGAGATAGCTTATTTGAAAGGTGATGAAGGAGAGGGAAATCCTGTGCAGATGGAGAAATAAGATTTTTTTTAAACTGAGGGGTTTATAAATTCAGAATACTTTTCAAAGGCTTTGTATCAGTGACATGAGATAATTGAACAGTATTTTACCTATTAAAAAATGAAATGTTCCTCACAGTAACCAGGGCTTGTATACCCTTCTCAGTATAAACCATCTATATGGCAACTAGTGTATTTTTTATTCTTGTACATTCCACTTAATGTTTGTTTGGGGTGGGGTTTTTTGTTCTATTACTGGCAGTACATCATATGGAGTCCTGTGTAATCAATCCAGAAATGTATTTTCTTTCAAAAATTTCCAGCTCTGTGTTTCCCTCTGCTTCTCCATAATGTTAGAAGGCACCAGTATGGGAATTTATATTCTTTTCATTAACCATGGACTATGCTATTTAACTTTGACATTAATCAAACTAGCAGTGTCCATGTTCTGGAGTGGGTTTTGCAAAACCCACTTCCAATAAGATAATCACAGTGCTCTGCAATTGTTATTAATAACTCGAGATGTAAATTGTATCTGGATTCTAAATTACACATTACTGATATTTTTGTTCTATATTTTGCCATAAAAATTAGATGTTTTCCCCCATACCACTTAAGCAAACCCATAGTTTAGGATTGTATTTATCAGTGCTGCAATTTTACTTGGATTTCCTCTTGCATATCACATGTACTTCTGGTGTTGTGTTTGAGATGGGAGCAGCAAGGAAGGGGACTTTTTGCTCCTGCAGGTGGGAAATTGCCATAGAGCTGTGAGACCCCTTTAATTAAAGTCAGAGTAAACTACATCAGAAGGGCTGCTATCAGTGAAGACAGCTGAGCTATCAGTGCTCTACTTTAATTAGAACTTCTAATATTTCATCCCTTACTGCCCAAAGTGTGACCTGTCAAGCTGCTGAGAGGCTGCTCCTTCCTGACAGAGGTGCAGCTCTGAGCCCAGGACTGGCACACACCTTTATCCAGTTTGTGCATGATCACTTGGTGGGTTGGTGGTCTTTTCTTTGTTGATGTGCTCCTTGTCTGCAAGAGCAGTAAAACACTGATCTGTTAATGCTAAACAACGCTTGGACTTGTTAAATAACTCATCAGAAGCCAGCCCACATCTCCTAGCCCTAATCTTTCACAAGGTTTGTGAGTGTCCAGCAGTTTCTTCCCCTCTAACACTTACTAATAAAGCTTAGGAGAAAAGAGAGAGCTGTATATGGGGCATCAATCCAAATTGGGGTGCAGTTACTGAGTTGGATTGAGCAATTTCTTGTTTTTCCATGACTGAATGGGGAATGTCCTCTTCCCCCTGTTGCATTTCTCCCTTTCCCAGCTCCCTGTTCTTCCTTCCCTTCAGCCCAGGAGGTCCTCTGGAAGGCTGCAAGACAGAGAGAACAGGAGTGGGCAAGGCAGATGGCAGCTTATGTGAATTTTCAGTGAATTGCTCAGGGTGTCCTGGGCAGCTTTGTGTCATCCTCTGCAGCTCCTCCTCACTCTGGAGTGAGTTTCATTAGAGGTTTTTAATTACCCTAGGCAAAGACCCGTTCAAAAAGGGAGATAAATGCATTTGACTGGAAGTTTTTCATATTTAGGCTTTGCTATTAAGCATGTAAACAGTGTTCAGCTTGCATTTTGACAACTGGCTCCCCCTTGGAGCTGATCAGAGCAATGCCTACCCTGCAGCTGGAGCACTGAACCAGAGCTGCACTGCTGCTGTTTGATAGAGTTCCCAGGGGACACTGAAATATTTCATACACAAAGCTGCTTGATCTCTAGCTCTGATTTTTTGACACTGCTTCACTGCAGCCCAATTTCTTGGCTTTCACAAAGCACATTTCTATGTTAAAGACCAACTGCAGAAATCCAAAGCCTTGCATTGGTAGGTCACAAACCAAAGTGCCTTTTGTCTCTGTAATAAAATTGCCTATACCATAATTCTGTTTAAATCATGATATGGAACCATGGAATGAACCTCTTCAATCATTTCTTAAGGGGAAGAAAACTCTCTTGGAAAGAAATAGGTATGAACATATATTAACATATAAAATCCACTGACTGTCCACAGAAGAAATAAAATTGTTCAGATGGAGAGCAAAATTATTGTCCAGAAATTAGGACCTAGATAAAATCTAAAACTAATTCTTCATCTCTGGAGGAGTTTATCAATCTTACTTATTTTGTTTTTGCAAAGTACATTAGCAAATACATAAATCATGATTTTTCTGTCTGAATCCTTCTAATTGCCTTCCTCTGGAGTGTATAGTGTCTTCATTCCCTCTGTATTTTGCAGCTCCCTCTGTCCTAAATCATTGTGTCATCAGTGCACAGGGACACCAGTGATTCACAATAATTTATAGCAGTGAGAGCTGACATAATTCCTGTCCTAAGGTTGCCACATTGTGATGGAGTTTGACAGTTTAACCAAGAGAGCACAGCTGAGAAGCAGGACCCATCCTGGAGCAAACATACAGGAAGGGATGTAACCTCAGCAAGTGTCCTCAGGGAATCATAAACCAAGAATCTAATTAGAATTATTGTGGATATAAGTAAACCTCTTAGTTCAAAGTTGTATTTAGCAACAACTGAAGAAAAATGATTTTTGAAATTATTTAGGAGGATGGAACTCATTTGCTAATAGATGAAAAGGCCTGCCTTCAGGTTGTGATCAGAGCAAAAAAGCCTCTAGGATTAAGTGATAGTATCCATGAGAAGAGAAACTGAAAATAGAAAATTGTACTGCAAGCCCACCTTTCCACTTTTTATTCCACAGCACTTTTTCAGTAAAAATGTGATTTGAGCTTGATTGACATGTTTTTAACATTGTTGTTTAATTTGCTGTGGCGCTTTTCCTGAAAAGAATAATTTAATTAAAAAACAATTTAAATGTTTATCATTTTTTTCCCAGTGTCAAATGATATATTTATTAGTGATTTAATTTAGTGGAAAAATATTTCATTTAAAATAGAACAAAGTACTTAATATATGCAATAAAATGGTTTACTTACTTGGTGTTCCTTTAAAAATGACGTTTTTAATTTGACATGCTAGTTTTTGGTAAGTAATTGGAAAAATTATTTTTGCAGGTTAAGTAAAAAGGGAAAAGGGAAAGTAGATTTATTAAATTTTCTTTCTCTGTCTGAATGGAAATAGTTCACACATAGGTAACACTGAGTTATGTTATTCTGTCTCTAATCTCTTGCTCTTGCTTTTTAACAATTTGATAAACTGTATGTTTGCACATTGAACAGTTGTGCCTTTTTGAAGCACACTTTACAGTCTGTGGTTTGCAGTTTACATTTGCATGGCAAGTTCCAGTTATTGTTTTCCTGGCTGGTAAAGCACGAAGGCTTCTGCCTCAAATCCCTGCACGATAATTACAAAGCAATTCTGACCCTTTCCTTTTGTCCACCTTCTGCTCTCTCTAGAGCTACGTCTACAATGACCCTCTGAGGTACTACACGAGGCAGAACCCCAAGGAGCCATCACCAGCTTTGGCCCACGCATCGAAATCCCAGCAGGAATTCCCTGAGAGTGCCCGTGGCCGGAGCCTCCGCCAGCGGCAGCCGGAGAAGGGAAGGGAGCAGCAGAGCCTGATGGCCGCGCTGCACTCCTACATCACCCAGAACCTGTCTGCACAGAGCAGTGGGAACAGCCCTCACAGCAGGACTAAAGGCTCCCAGGTCTATCCTGAGAGATTGTACTCTACACAGGTCAGTCCTTCCGATGGAACTTTTGCCAAAGGCAAAGCGGAAGATTTCCCAATGCGGAAGCTGTTCCCGCAGAGGCCAACCCCAGAGATGCTGAGTCACAAATCTGCTCCCCAGCAAGACCCTCTGAGCATTGTGGATGGTAAAGTTGATATTTACTTATTGTTGCTTACCTGAAGTTTCCCTCTTGTTTACTGAACATTTTTGAGAAAAAGAAAATAAAATTAGACATTTGCTATATCTCCTAGTATTGGCATATTTATATCTGCCACAACGCAGTAATAATTTTCACCATTCCAGCTACTCTTTCCCTGCAAACATCTACCCACATTGTTCAGCCCACCTTCCATATGTGTGCAGAAATATATGGCACTAAGTAAGACATAGCGTTTATGTAATTTATTATATTTTCAAAGCATTTTACAAACAACGCATAATTACGGGTATATCTTCGCTATCAAAATCTGGTTTTATGCATTCATCCCACACTATATATATAGATAATACAGAAATGCTTGGTTTTGTTCCACATCTCTTTAACTATAAATTCAAGGATCATGGGTAAAGTTCAAAGTTAAGCACAGAAATTAACAGTGAGATGAATTCTGGTGCAGGACACAGAGAAGGGACGAGTCTGTCAGTTCCATGGATAGGTGAACAAGAAAGTGGGGTTGCATCTAGTTTTGTCTGGACATTCTGTAACAAAGAACCCAATTCCTGGGCTTTCATCTTTTATTTGATAATGCTGATTAACAATGATTGGATCGCAGTTTATTCGGTATGTGATAGTTCAAAAAATATTTAAATTAAAATGGAAAGTAACATCCCCATGCTGTGCTGCACTTAAAGCACTGCTTTATAAGATGAGTCTTGGGGATCATGTAGACTTTACAATTCATTTTGTTGTTTCTTTAAACTAATCTATCAATGTTATTACAGTGGCTCAGAATGCCTGAAAAATGAAAGACTTGATCCCCAGCCATTGTCAAGCACTTGTATCTGTTACACTGAAGTCACCAATACCCCAATGGGTTTTGGTGATATGTAAGAGGGTTCCTTTGAATCCCTCTTTATCATCCATAAAGTGTAGTGTTCTTTGATTTGTTTTGGGTGGTTTTTTAAAATATCCTCCAAAACCAGAACACACACAAACACACAGAAATGTCAGAGTTTCAGCAGAGGAAAGATAAAGCTTGCAGTTTAAAGGATGCTCAGAAGTGAAAGCATTCTTGGTATGGTGCCCAGAGATAATAGGTTTCAAGGAATGAACTATAATGTAAAATCAAATCCAGGTGGCACTGTAAGTCTCTTGCACAGGTTAGACAATTTTGTTCCTAGACTCAAAACAAACTAGGCACATGCTGGTTTCATTATCCTCCAGCTGTTCCACTTCACCTTTCCTGGTAGGAGCCAACTGGGAAAAAAATGCTTAACACTTACAGAGAATAACATGTTTCACAATTCATTGGGTTGTACTACTTTGACTTCTCATACATAATATGCCCTATAGGAACTTCTGCCATTGCATTTGCTATTAAATTTTGCATAGACAAGGTATTATGAATTATTTGAGTAGGAAATACTGTGGTTTCCTTTTTATTTTTGAGCCCCTTAATAATCTCACAAGAATGGCAGTGAGGACAGACCCTGGCATATTAATTGCTTAAAATGCTGTCCAAATGTCCATTGGAATGAAAGTGGTTTAGATTCAGGTTTCCCAGAATGACCACACAACCTCTTTCTGCTGTTAACCTTTCTCCAATTTCTCTTGTGTTTATGGATTATTGTAGGCTTGTGGTTTGTTTTTCTCTTGCACTCTGTGAACTACAGAACTGTTAAAATCTGGATGGATGGGGTGCTAAATTCTCTGATCCATCTGACAGAGGATTAGACAAAGGCACTGGGCTGGGAGAACAATCCAGAAGGTACTGAGCAGATTAGTACTGAGAATTGCTGCAAAAGAGTGGCAGGTAAATTCTCTAACAAGGCACCCTGAGGGAGAAATACAAAAGAAGGAAATGTGGAGTTATTTTTCTATCAGATTTAGAAGTTGTTACCACTAGGAGTAGCATGATGTGCGTGGGTACTGCCTTTGTAGTCACTGTGGAACGCTGGAATTATTAATCTCTCCTCTGCACCAGCCGTATTTAGCATTTGGCTCAGTTTTGTGTGGTTTGTTCTAGTCTACTGATTTTTTATGTGTTAAATATTACAGAATGAGTCTCTCTGTTCCTTTGAAAAGGTCACAGAATTAGTAATTCAGATGTCTTTAAAAAATAGCAAACTTCCATGTTTATGGAACAAAAATACTTTTTCTTTTTTTTACATCCTCTCTCTGGCAAAGCTGGGATCACCATTCCGTATGGTGCTCAGCTGCTGAGGCAGCTAACATGTGGTCAGAAGGGTGATGGGATTGAAGAACACAGACCACACTGTGGAATTTCTAACAAAGTCACTGCTCCCATACCATGTGGTTGTCAGACAAGCTGGCTTTGAATCTTGTGCCAGCAGAATATGAGGCATCATTTATATGCTATACAATAAAAAGCTGTTTTCCCTGTATAAGGTGCTATTGTTCCTACTAGGGCATTCTGGTGGAGCTTATATGAAAAATTACATCTTCTAGGACATGCATGCTTTTACTGCCATTATGGTTCCAGGGTAACTATAAAAGGAAGTTTGAATTCATCAGCTGGAAAGCTGGAGCTAAGGGAGAAATCTGGTTTGCAGTTTGCAAGCCCTGTGAAACATGACTGAGCATTGCTGAGTCTACTTAGAAGGGAGTCAGTGGGAGACTATAAAAGCTGTGCACAGGTAAATGCATGTTCAAATACATGTGCTGCTTAAGTGCTGTGCCATTGCAGTATCCATCTGGTTTTTGGTCTTTCTCCAACAATATTTTCTGATTTTAATAAATACATCATATTACCCAAAGGTGCTTGCAAACAGATGCAATGATATTTATCTGTTTATCAGTGTTATCCAGTAATTTACAAATTATTGCAAACATGGACAAGTGCCATAACAAGAAGTGTAAATATCCATATTTACCATGGGCAAGGATTAGTATCATATCAGTAGGCACATGAAGTTAGCAAGACTCTTTATGAAGACCTGCATTTCACCAGGATGTTACAGACACTTTGGTGACTGACCCTCCTGGGGTACTAAAAACATGATGGTCCTCATACTTACTGGCTTTGGTTATTACCTTTGGTCCTTGGGATTTTAAGTCACATTGTAGTTGTTCAGTAAAAGTAGATATAATGCCAAAGTTTACTCATATCAATGCAGCATTTAGGAATCTGTTTGATGAACTGTGCCCAGGTGGCAATAACCAGGGCAAGAATGTCAGTATTATATAATATGATATATGACATAATATATATTATAATATATAATATTATATACTATTATATTATAATTATATAATTATATATTATTATCTCATATATAATATAGATATTTTATATTGTTATAATATAAGGATGGTTTATAATATATTATATATTATAACATATATATTTAATATATAATGTTATATTATAATATTGAGGTTTTAGTGAGCCAGAAGAACCTCCAATGAGCCTGTCAGTATTACCTGGAACAGGGTCTGAGGCAATTTTTTTTTTTTTTTTTTGTGTTATTCCTTGCCCTGCTCCCCCATTACCATTTGTTTGAGATTAAGACTGCTTTTTTGTTGACAATGGGTATTAAATATTAATCTGAAGACAGAATGGAGAGATAAGACTGGGCTAAGAATATAAGTAAAGAGAAAAAGTTAGTTTGGAAAAAATGGAATGGAAATGACAAGGCTACATTTGCCTGCATGTTGTTGAGTAGCAGAGTAGCTCAGTGGTTGGTCTTGACAGCTGGCTGTGAATCAAATGAAATAAACAAAAACCTAGTTGTGTTACATTAATATAACTAATTTAATTATATATGTTCTGAAATATAATTCTCTTTTATCATTTGTCTTCAAATGATGTTTTATTTGTAAAGTTTTAGTTTTGATTTGGATCTGACATATATTCTGTCTTTTCATTGCTGACTTTATTAGCTCTGCTTCAATAATTTAGGCTTTTCTGTCAAGATATTGTCCAATAGTTCTAAAAAAGATAAGATCAGAAATGATACCTAAGCAGACACAAGGCTCCTGTGGTAATGCAACAGTACAATTTTCTTCCTACAGCTTAGTTTTCTGCATTGTTGCTTTGTGTAACACTCCACCTTTCTGCCAGGTAGCTCTTGTGCTTCTTGAAAAAGTGTCTTGAACTCAGGTTGATCAAGTCTATTAAAAATTTTTGTTGCAATTTAATTTGCTCCTGTAAATTGCCTTTCTAAACTAAAGTATTGGTCACAATGTGTTTACTGTATTATTAAATTAGTGACAGGGGATGGGTACAATAAAATGAAAGGAAATTTTTCAGTTTTTTCTCTGAAGTGTTGCTAAGCTTCCATCAAACTTCAGTGTTAATTTTGCTGCTGCCACATATCTTGGCCCAGAGAGTTTGGCACAGATTGAGTTTACATCTTTGATTCAATTTCTGAACACTTGCTTTCCTGTACAAAGCTCTCTGCTATTCCAGTATGGTACCAAAATCTTTGTCAGCTGTCAATTTGAAGTAACATCACACATATAACCTATCTTTTTTATTGATAATCACAATTAAGTGTGCCTATAACTATGCTTTTTAAAGGAAATTTTAAAAGTTCACATTTTACAAGATTAGATTGTATTTTATATTACTGAATTTTATAATCAAAGAAGTAGAATTTTGTAATAACATCATGGTGGATTATTGGAAAGATATTTCCTTTTTTACCTGGAAAGTACATAAAAGAAACACCTTCCCCATATGTCAACACACTCTCAGACTCACAGTAAATCTATTATTTAAGCTGTTTAAGCTCTTTTGCCTTTTATGGACTAATTAGTTAAGGAAAAATGGCATTATTTTTTTTGGTGAATTTTGGGTCAGGTCAGGGGAAATTAGTCTTTGCTTTGAGATGGAATTAGGAATCTGATGGTGAGATGCTGAAGGGTCCAAAAAATGACAGATGTGTCTAAGGACTTGGCCTTTTATTCCCAGTGAAAAACAGTTCTTGATGCTTGTCACCCTGCAAAATCACAGATGTTCCACTGCCTCTTCCCTGAAGTCTGTTAACTACTTCAACTTCTTTTCTAGTCTCTATGTACTTCTTCCTCCTTTGTTGTGAGTAAAAAGAAAAATCCTTATTTTTAGCCCTTCTTATGACATTTGTTTTTCCCTGTTTCGCTACTTTTAAATTCACTTTTATGTGAGCCTGAAAGCTGACAGCACGATCCCAAAGTCTTGCTCACAGATGATGATGTCCAACCACTGGGCCTAATATAGATAGTGTTAATATTGAGAAAAAAGGTTGGATGGCACCTTCAGAGTGCTTCTATGTAAACTCATACGTTCAACAGAGAATTAAAAGCAGCCCTTAATTTCCTCTTCCTACACAATACTATGTGAAAGAGTTTTCTTGCTTGCATGTATATGCATAAATATGTTAAATTTCTTCTCAAAATGAATAATCAGAACAGAGGCATGGTTGGAAATGGTTTTGGTGTGCTACAGTAAGCACATTTATTGTTCCACACTCCATGGGGCGTTAGGCTGAGTTTTGCAGATCTCTACAGACTGATAGTGGAGATGCAATTGCAGTCAGAAAAGTGCCTCCCCTGGGGAGATGTTATGCTTCATCTTCTGACTCATCTTTAATATCCATTGTCCTTCAATTTCCTTATCTTCAAAACTTTTATCACATCAAAGTTGTTTTGCTGTTTGGTTTTGTTGTTTTTTCTCAATGTGACTGGTAAAACATTCATAGCTGGCAAACCAAAACAAGTTCTATATATCTCTCTATATCATCTATATTTATATCTATCTATATATGTAAATTTATATTTGAAAAAAATATATATGTTCCAAGAGAGATTAATACTATTTAGATATTTTGTCCATTACATATCCATGTATATAATGGACATATATTTATATCCCCTTCTAATTGATGAGGAGCTTTTTGATTAAAAGACAAAATATCTGACTCATTTTTTTTCCCAGAACTCTGTATAACTACTTATCTTGTGAAAGCAAATCACCAAAGAAAACTGATCTCTAGGAAACAATAATGTTGTTTGTACTGTTTTGCAGCTCAAAAAAAAAAAAAAAAAGAAATTAGGCTACTTTAACACTTGCTTTCAGTATTTTGAGTCAATTTAGGCTAGGAAAGAATGTTCTTTATGTAAAGAAAAAGTGATCATTTCATGCCCTCTCTCTAGGAGTACTTGCTGGGCTATAACAGCATACATCTCCCTTTCCTGGCACAGATTCACCTCATCATAAACTTTAACATCCAGTAGGAATATTGTGTTTTCTGTAAGGAATGCAACATGAATTGAGTTCACCTTCCTTTAAAAAACAGATACTCTCCATGAAGAGAAAGCTATCAAAACTTTTTAGGAAAAATATAAGCACATGTGTTTCATGTATGCAGCTAAATGTGCTTATGTTGTTTTCTGATCCAGAGACACTGATTAAAAATGTATTGAAGGACCTAGAGAAACACCAAGTGAATGTGGAGAATCTCAGCTCAACAGAACTGGATGAAATTGCTGATACCATTGCCACTGCAATCCAAAGTGTTGACATTCAGGAAGAAACAGAAAAAAGTGCTGGAAAAACTAAAGAAGACAAAACAGAAGCACAAATGAAGAAAGGAGATTCTCAAGGAAGGGGAGAGCTTCAGACTGGATTAATGGAAAACAGTGTTAATATACCAGGTATTTATTTTAGAAGTACAGCAAAAGACAGCTACCCTGATTTTCCTCTATTGCTTCACCTTAGTGCTAGACTTCTAAAAATCAGTTTTAAAGAAGTGTGAGGGAAAGTTTCTGTATTTCCCGCATGGCTGTGGAATTTTAGATTGTTTTTTTTTTTCTTTTTACAGGAGGTTCTTCATTTACCAAAAAAATCTGTTTATGAACACTTGGTCTTCAAGCTTCACAAACAAGATAAATCTACACACTCAATTATATTGAAATAAGAATTGCTTTTGGTCTAATTTCCACTTTGCTGTGTGGTATAATTTCCTATTCTTGAAAATGAGATGTTTAAGCAAAATGATAATGGAAATTATTATATTACAAGATGTATTTCAAAATATGCAGAGAAAAAGGATATGTTTTACAGATAGTCATTTTTTAACATGCCACAGCTACTTGCAGAAAAAAATCTGTGACAAGTTACAGGTAGAAACCCACTCATTCCCTTTCTTTCTTAGGGAATAAGAAGAGTTATTATGGTTATTTGTTTCTGTCAGCACACATATTTTCCTGGTGATGCAGATTCAGAAGCCACAGTAATTACCATTAATGAGTGAATACCACAGTGGAGCATAAGTTACTGCTCATCCTTTTTCTATTTTAGGAATGCTGTAATATCTAGTATGTCAGAAAAGTGTACTGTAGGTCATAAAAAATGATTTTAACTGTTTTCATGGTGGTATACTGAAATCCTTACTAGCTAGGGATATTCTGGTTATTCTGATTTGTTGTAGATTAAAAGGAGCCAACTTGAGGATTTATCTTGAGTCATGCTGGGAAAGATGAATGACATTCAGTTCATAAAGCAAAAAGCCAGTATTATTTGACTGAGGTTAAGGAACTGACTGAATATTATCACTGTAGTTAAACTGTAACATGATTTTGGTGAATGATATATTTTGAAATACTTCATTTTCTTCCATCAAAATAGATATAAGGGAAGTACATGTTTCCTTTTCCTTTACCATAAATGTCCATCCAGCAAGCTAGAGCCATTTTATTCTGTTTTGGTTTTTTTTTCCTCAGATATTGGTAAACTCATATGATGATTTGACACTTAATTAGCAAAATAACACTATTACATTGGCTCTTGAAGTATTCTGTCTATTGATCTCACATTAATTTGATATCAAAGTGGGGTTAGAATAACAATAACAAATTATACAGTGCTCCTTACTCTGCTTTTTCAGCTTTGATGTCTCAATGTTTAAATCACATAAAAAAAAAAACATTGCTAAAAAGCACCCTATGAGAAGTCTTTGTTTTGTATATGATGTTTGCCCTTCATAACTCTATATTTGTGCTTTTTATATCCTACAGATAATGGAGTGCACGAAGCCAGTGTGAGAAATGATAAAGAGGTATAGTACCAGTATTTTAACAAAAAAAAGTGTTCCATCTCAGAATATCTGTACGCAGTGAGAGACAAACTCACACTTCTGAAATACAAGACTTGTTCTAAGTTTTGTGTGGCTATGATTCAATAACACACATGTTGTTTTAATGCACTGAAATATTAAATGAGCATTTATTTAAACCTTAACCAAAATGGGTTTTGATGTTCAAAAATCAAAATCAAGTCCTTTTTCCCCCCTTTCTCTAATTTTTAAATAGACAGAATTTATAACAGATTCACAAAGTTCAGGCTTTTCCTCAAATCAGTAGATTTGCTTCTTTTCCCCTTTGGCTTTTAGTCCTGGGGAACATCAGCTCTAGGGAACAAAAGCTCTAGGCATTACATCTTGCACCCTAGCTAGTAACACCAAAATTAGCATTTTAATCCAAATTACTTTTACAATATTCCTCCTGAGCTTTGAGTTTTATCCTATGGACTGCTGTCCAATATTTAGCCATTTTTGAGGTATATTCATCTTTCTTTTTCTCCATTTCATGGAGCAAAAAAATTTCAAAGAAATATTTTTAAAAAATGTGTTAAACTTCTCCTACTAGGTACTCTATGAAAAGCTAATACTGCAAGACTCGTAAGTGGGCAAATCCTCTTGTGTTCACAGTAAAATCTCTTTGGTCCTTCCACCAAACAAGGGAAGCACACACAGAGTGGCAGGAGCTTTAAACACCCACATGAAAATCATCAAGGAATGAAGTGCTGTAGTCACAACAGACTTACTGTGGATCTCATATATAAATTTTTTAGTGACAGTTTGAGAAGGGAATGTTTGAATAGAATTTCATGTGACACAGAGCACAAAGTGCCCATTAGCCATCATTTCCTCCCAAATGCTTGGCTGCAATAAAGTTATGTAATGAAGCTAACTAATGAATTTTTCGAGGCACCTGTTTTGACTCTGGTTCATTTGCTTATTGTTGATTTATTAGACAGATTTTGGTTTTCTGTGATCATATGTTGAGATTGTTGGATCATCCACACACAGTTTGTCACCATTTCTAGAGATGAAGAAGGGAAACAGAATTGGTCAGATAATATCTGTTCCTTTTCTGGTGTTATAACTTGTGAGACCCAAGAGGTATGAAAGTTTTCAGGCCCAACCCAGGAATATTGATGGACATTTCTATTTTTTGTCCTTTTCATTAACTTATGTGATAACAAAGTTTAATTTCTGTCAGTACTTAAACACAAAGACACATGGAAACTACTAAAAAAACTATTGTGGCATAATTTAATGCTCTTTTATTATTACTGAATAAACAGCATGTTCTTAACATAGTCTAGCAGCTTATAGAAATTAAGAAAATGACCATGCAACAGTTGTATGAGTAGATTCTACCATACCAATAAGAGTTTGAAAAAATTGTATCCAGGTTTGGTGAGTATAACCTTCCTGTGTTTAGTTTTAAAAATAATGTTATTCTTTTAATACAGGAGAACACTGCAAAACTAATTAGATTTTTGAATGAGAACGCATTAGCTGAAAATATTCATAAAGACCTTATTGCTGAAGAACCTACAAAGACAGAAACTAAGAAATCTGAAGAAACTGACCCTTCTTCCTCAGAAGAAACAAATGCTGGTGTGGAAAATGTAAAAAGTGAGACTTTCTCAAGGGAGCTGACAACTGCAAAGAACAGTGAATCTGACTCCGAAGACCCCAGCCAGACCAGCTACTGGATTAAGAATGCTTTAATGCAGGAAGGAAACTCCTATGAAAAGCCTCAGAAAAACACAGGACAAGGCTTACAACTTGAAGTGAAATCTTCTCAGGAGGAAGAATATGGCTATATTGTGACAGTGAAAGAGTAAGTACAGCAGCCAATTTGAATGGCATTTTTAACGGGGGAAAAGACAAAGTTATTGCACCTAGTGAAATATGAATGCACAAGAGGAAAATGCCACAGCCTGATTTTTAATACATCTGAAACTGTTTGGAACCTGTTCAGTACTTTGATGAAAATACAAGCAAACAGTTCCATTTTCTTACAGTTGCCTTTCCTCCCTTGCAGAAGACATTAAATTTGTAGGTCTTTTGCTTAGACCTCTCTCTATCTTCTCATGTTCTAGTGACCTTCCAATATGTCACTAAGTGTGCTTATGGTTAGGATGGGAGCTTTAAATATTTGACTTGAAAGTAGTCTAAATATCAATGCCTGAGTCATTCTTTCAGAAAACGACACACAATAATACAGCACAGTATTTTCTCTGTGGTTTTGTTTTGATCTGAAAATAACACATATAGAAATCCAAACATCACATATGCAGCTAGTTTCGAAAGAAAGGCCTAATGCTTTCAAGTCATGCCACTAATGAATTTGACATTTAATACTATACTTTCAAAAAGGCAACTTTAGCCCCCCTAATGATGCACAGTTCATTACAGGATTTGGGATTTTAGAACCATGTAGGCAACCATGTAGGCAATTTCATATCCTTTTCCCCTCTGTAAAACAGTGTTATGTTTGATTAGCAATCCTGACTCCTCTTCTGTGAGAAATTGGGAATTTCTAGGATGAGCTTACAAATCACTGTCCAGCATCATAGAAAAACTGAAGCAGAAATTTCTTTAGCATGTACTGGTTCTTTTGACTGTCTTAAACTTATTAATGGGATTGAAGGCAATAGAACTGTAGAGGATTCTTGGTTTTACTATACTGTGTTGTATTGAAATGCATGTGGCTGCACATTAGAAACAGACCAGAAACTGGTGGAATACCCTTTAACTGCACCTCTTCATTCCTGTCTAGGAATGTTATGTAATGCGGTAGAAGACAGTTTTTCCCCAGCTCAGCACTACTTCCCTTTTCCCCCAGCTCTTTTAACTCATATCAGTCTGTAAGACTCCTTTATTCCAAAGAGTATCATAATGACACCATCTCATTTGGCTATCCAGACTTATTTGGCTCATAAATGCAGTAAAGTTTAGAACTGCCAGAGCTCTGTGAAATGGGAGATGTTCTGAATTTCAGTGTTCACAACCTGGAGATTCTTCACTGTATCATCTTACCTGGTTTTCTTCCTAGCTAGTCTCCCACTGATGACTTTTCTCTGAATTATGTCTGTTATTTTTCAATGAAACTTGTTGAAGAAGGTATTTTGTCCAAAGATTCTTGGTTCTAGAGGAGTCCATATACACAAAGATAGGTTAGCTTTACCATTTTTAATGGTTTTTAGTGGTTGGTGGCCGGACTCAGAGAGTGGTGGGGAGTGGAGTTACATCCATGGTTGTAACTCTGAGTAGACAGCAATGTGTTCCACAGGGCTCAGTACTGAAGGCAGTTCTGTTTAATATCTTTGTTGATGATCTGGATGAAGGGATCAAGTGCGGAAACAAATTTAGGAGGGAGTGTTGATCTTCTGGAGGGCAGGAAGGCTCTGCAGAGGGAAAAGCCCAGTTTGCACCAAATGCATGTTAGGAAAAACTAGAAAGGTTAGAAAGGTTTGTCAAGCTTTGAAACAGTCACCATGGCTGGAGGTGTCTAAAAGGCATGTACATGTGAAACTTAGGGACATGATTTAGTGTTGGACTTGGCAGGGCTGGGTTAACAGTTGGACTCGATGATCTTAGAAGTCTTTTCCAACCTAAATAGTTCTATGATCCTATGATTCTGCTCAGTGCTATAGCTGACATTTGTGGAGAGATCCATTCCCTATTAGCTTCTGAGGTTTTTCAAGCACAATCCAAGGAGGTGTTAGCACTGCTGCACTGAGCTCCATGAAATGCTTGGAAGATGCCAGCATTTAATTGTGCCACAAACCAAATATAAGCATTTCCATCTAATACTTGAAGTAAAGATTTGTGATACTTTAAAGATTTGTCAAAATGGCAGTCTGTCAATGGCAAGAACAGTGGGTCACTCCTGCTGTGTTTGTCAAGTGAAGTGACCTTTCAGATGGTTGCAGCACTGCAATCCATACCAATCCATATTATCCATCAGTGCTAAGCTTTGGAATGAATTGACACTTTCAGTGTAGAAAATTGTCCAGCAAATCCTCCACTGTGCTGCTTCAGTATTTCATTATTCTGAGAAACCAATCAAATTGGTGATTTACTTTGTTTACTCTCTTCTCTTTCAAAAAATTGGTATTCTACTGCTGGAGTATTTATGTAAGATTTTTTTCTTTCTCAGTGTAATTTGAAGCTTTGAAGTGTTTTATTAATTTAAACTCTAAAATTCTGAAGTAATCTTATTTTTTTAAATTAATCTACAAGATGTTATTTTCATTTGTGTTCTACTTTTGCCATAATTATAAAGTACCTCTGTTATAGTTGGGATACATCAGTGTGTGCTCTCTAGTCAGAGAAGTCTTGCCTTTGGACTCTTTCTATTTTCTGAAATTCTGGTGCTTCACATTTGGGAAATGTTTTTTTCTTTGAAGAATGCCAGTTCTCCCATTTGTTTGGCAGTATTTGCTCTAAAATGAGGGCCTGGATCCCACAATCAAAACATTTGCACAGTGTTTAGTCTCCTGAGTGTCTCATGAGGAAATCCAGAGCCTGAGTTTCCAGAAAATGTAGTTCTTACCACCTCCAGTAAATCTAAATGGAAGGTGCTGCATGCTCAGCAGTTTAAATAGCCAAGCTGGCATGCAATTTGTCAAATATGAGATTGAGTAGCTAGACTTAAATGCACTAAGAAAAATCCTAGTTTGAAAGTTCATCTCTTTCTGCTGCTAATCACAGAGTCTTTCAAGCTTCAAAATCAAGTCATGCTTGTCTGAAACCATGCTTGGACACCTAACGCCGAGCATCCTGTCCTGTTTTGTGATTTTATCAGAGGGCTTGTGCTTGAAGTTTTTCATAGAAAGACTAGATCACAGGCAGCTCATGGCAGCTCTCTTAGCTTGCGAGCCAACTTCTGGCATTGCTGTGTCACACATTTCCAGGATAGTTCATGTTTTGTCATATGTTGGCTCCCAATTGCAGACTGTCTGTGTAAGATTGTATAGGTTGTAAATCTGCTCCCACCACGTGAACCGAGTTGGATGCTGCATGCATGGCTCATTCATTGGAGGGAACTGCAGTTCAGCTCAGGTGCTGGGAAGAAATGGGGCTTGTGTTCACAGTATAAAGTTGCTTTGGGATATGATTAGTCTGACCCATTTAATGTGCTGAAGGGTTGGGTTAATTACAAATGCTTGATATTATTTCTCCACCTTTACAAATGTGATAAATGATACTGCTTTGCATATAATGATTACTTTCCTCAGGATGGCATTCGGGTTAGGACCCTGAAGCTGGTTTGTAAAGAAGTCTTGGTTTATTCCTCAAGTTTTCTGTTTTCCTGGGCATATCATTAAATAATTGTATTTTTATGATCTCCATTATTTTTCCCCTACCAGGTGGAAGCATTTTAATTGCATTTAAAAATTAAATTTAAAATAAATAGGAAAAATTAATCACACTATCTACAGCAATGAAAAAAGGCTGCTATCATTTTCACTTAATAGATCTTGATGTTTTTTAGAAGCTGAGCATTTATATTCCATGAGGCTTTGCAGCTCTTTTTAGAAAATAATAACAGAATGTTCTTGTCTTTTAAGACATCTATTCAAAAAGAAACACTGATTTGACCTTCTCTGTATATCTTACTGTTCTTTTTGAAATCATCATTCTACTTACAAGTGCACTTTATTAAGAGAAAGAGATTTATTCATATTCTTCACTTAATTTCTACAACTAGCTTTAAAAATTAAGAGAAATTATAAACACACATAAACCAGAAAATCTGCTGCTACTGAAGTCTGTTAAAATCATCAAAGAATAGCACTGCTGACATTAGAAAAAAAGTTAAATGTAAAATTTTTATCTCTGATTTTTTACTTCCCTTATATAACTCCTCCCTTGTATAAATAAGTTCCTTAAGTGTCCATAATTGATTTTAAAGCCAAAGGTTTTGCTTCTGACAACATTGCTTGACCCCCTATCTGAATAATACACATGGAAAATCCTTTCCTGTACTATTATCCAGTAGGCACGATTTGGTCTTTGTCTCAGCACCAAAACCTGTAGAGAGACATAATTCTAGAATTTTCTGTTGCCAACTCTTCATGCATAATTATTCATGGTCCCTAGAGTTTTTTAGACATGAAATCTTTTTTCTATCTATAATTCTTCAGTTTTTTGTGATTCTTAGAAAGTGACAGAGATCATACCCCCCTTATTACTGCTTCACTGTCTCAATTTTGATATTATATATTCCCATAGGAAAATGATGCTTTATGCTTCCTATTCATCCACAAAAAATAACAGCAGTAGTTAATCTGGCTTTGTCACAGAGAGCAATAAATACTGCCTTTTTTTTTATGTGTGTATTCAGTTTTGTATATTTTTATTATCTCTTCTATGCACAGAGATATAAGAATCTGTTCTACTTCAGCTGCCCTTAGCTTTTGTGCTTTCAAAATCTGTTGAAATATATTGTGACAGAACGTGATTCTCAACCTGCTGATGATAATTTTACAAGAGTCCTTCCCAGTGTCCATCTTTCCCTCCTTGAAGGGCTTTGCTTTCACACATATTTTCCTCTCATTTCTTTCTGGCCCAGCTCTGCATTTTTACTTCTAGAGGAACATAGAGAGAAAATTTTCCAATTTTCTAATTTTCTAATTTTCTAATTTTTCTAATTTTCTAATGTGGCTGGTGACCATCCAATCCGCTGCACTAACAACTAAAGGCAAGAATTCACTCTGGTCCTGATGCAGTGGACAATTTTGGGAATGTGCCTGGAGTCCTTGGTAGCACCACAAGAACTCCCTCAGATCTGTATTACTCCACTTAGTGGAAGAGGAATGGCTGCTGGCC